TTACTTGAATATACCCTTCCACTGTAGTGAGACTATATCCCATCTTAGAAAACAACAAAATCTGGGGCCTCGCTGGTGGTGCAAGCGGTTAAGATGCAACCTATGAAGCTATCTGCAGCCACTGCAGCAAGAGCTTGATCCCCGGCCACGGAGGTGACCCACATGGTGCAGCAGACCTCTCCTGACTTGCCTGCTGCTCCCCTCAGCAGTGTATTTTAGTCAATCTGCCTGTTCTGTTTCTCACTCTGTCTCTGGCGAATCCTTTTACCCCCAGCCCCCCTTTCTGGCCTGTACTGCAGTTCTTGTAGGCATAAATAAATAAATCTTTTTTAAAAAAAAAAAACAACAAAATCTGCACATCTAGCCCTTCAACCACAACTATAATGTGAATGTGTTTAAAGCAGCTCATTTGATTTATTGAAAGGAAAATTCTTGGACTCAGTACTTTGCTTTCTTTCTTCATAGTGTTTGTGGTTAAAGTCTATGTACTCTGTGTTTTAGACATCAGCAACAGCTGTTTGATGAAACTCCAAAGAAAACCTTTCTCAAAATAGTTTTGTTGCAAAGAGAAAATGGCATTTAGGAACTTTGGCAAGAACTGTACTCTTGAGTCATGTTCAATTTTAAAACTTGAATGGAAAAATCCACTACATGGAGAAGCCAACCACACAAGATTCTGAGCTGAGTCAATTGTTAGAAGAAAGAGGCTCTGGCAATGCACAGAGCACTGGGGGTCTCTGAGAGCTGTGCACATTGAGAATGGCAGGGGGCCCAGACAAGCCCAATTAGCAGGGACCTCACCACAGCATCATACACATGCTCAGTAAGAGGTGAAGAAGGAAACCTGCTGCCTGACAAAATGGCTTTACATAACCAGAGTTTCGCTTGTATTAGCTTACTTAGATGATGCTTTCACAGTTTTTTAAATTATTTAGTCACTCATTAAATTGTATTATTCTTAGGTTTCAAGAGTCCTTTAGATTTTGGGGTAGAAGTCAGGTATCAGCACAGATACCTTATATTTCTTTATTTCTGTGTTCTCACTGCTGTTCTGGGGTCGGGCAGGGGTCTCATTTTCTGAGATCTCTGAATCGAGACAGTCAGCCACTGAACCACTTGGCTGGCTGAAAGGCTCTACTCCAGTAACAATCATGGATGTGGAAGGAATGTCTGGTTGCAGTATTATGGTAATTGTCCCACCATAACTAGGAAAAGTCTTGTATTTTCACATCTAGCTACCTTTGCAGCATGTAAGGCCACCCCAGCGTAGCAGGCCTAGGCATATCTGTCAGAGATTCTGAATGCAGCAAAGAAGAGCTTCTGTGGCACTAGGGTGCTGCTCCTAGGTCTGAAACCCCCCACAGAAGTCAAAGTTGTCTCTGAAGATCTTGTCCAAAACCTGATTACAACAGCAAGTTTGAGAAAGTTGTGTTAATATGCTTGAATCACTCTTACTGTGGGACTCTAGATTTTATATATATATATATATATATATATAAAAGCATATATATAATCTATATATATATATATGCTTTTTTTACATGATTGTTCATTTTTATACAATGTATACTTTCTCCTCTCAGGTGTAGTCCCTGTAAAATTCTCACCACCAATTCACCGGTGAAACCACCCCCTCTTCATTGCAGAATGTATCTGATTTATAAATGCCTGCTAATTTTTCATTATTATTGTTATTATTTTTTACCTGATCCCTTATTTGGCTCCCCTATATTCCTCCTATAAGTGAAAACATCTGATATTTTCCTTTTCCTTTTGGCTTTTTTCTTTTTTTTTTTTTTAAAGAATTTATTTATACAAGCACTGGGTACAGTCAGAAGCGCGGGAGGGTGAGAGGATTCACCAGAGCCAGAGGGGAGAGCAGAACAGGCAGACTGACGAAGTACACTGCTGAGGGGAGCAGTGGGCGGCAGGAGGGGTCTGCACGCCATGTGGGACCCTCAGCTGGCAGCCGGGGATCGAACCAGCGCTGCAGAGGCTGCTGGCAGCTCCTCAAACCAGCGTTCAACGGCTGTGCCACCGGGGAGGCCCAGCTTTTTGGCTTTTTTTCACTGATAATAATCCCTTCCAGCTCCATTCATGTTGCTGCAAATGGCATGAATGTATCTTTCTTGATTGTTGAATAGTATTCCATTGTGTATATATCCCACATTTTCTTAGTCTAGTCACCTATTTTGGGGCATTTGGGTTGTTTCCATATATAGTAAAAATAGGGGTGTAGGTATCCTTTTCAATTAAGCTTTTTTGTCCTTTAGGTAGATTCCTAGGATTGCAATTGCTGGGTCACATGGTAGCTCCATTTTAATAGTTTGAGCAACCTCCATACAGCTTTCCATAGTGGTTGGACCAGTTTGCATTCCCACCAGCTGTGTAGGAGAGTTCCTTTTTTTCCACATCCTTGCCAACATTTGTTGATGCCCGTTTTTTTAATATGTGCCATCGTCACTGAGTAAGGTGGTATCTTGTGTTTTTGATTTGCATTTCCCAATTGTGAGTGATGTTGAACTTTTTTTCATATACCTGCTGGCCATTTACAATTCCTCTTTGGAGAAGTGTCTTTTTTATCTCTTCTGCCCTTTTTTTTTTTAAGATTTATTTTTTTAATTTATTTACACAAGAACCAGGGTACAGGCCAGATTCACGAGAGGGTGAGAGGTTTCACCAGAGACAGAGTCGGGAAGAGAACAGGCAGACTGACTGAAATACACTGCTGAGGGGAGCAGTGGGCGAGACAAGAGAGGTCTGCCACGCCATGTGGGACCCTCGCCAGCCAGCTGGGATTGAACCGGTGCTGCAGAGGCTGTGGACAGGTTCACAGCGCTGCGCTCAACCACCTGCACCACTAGGGGAGGCCCTTTCTGCCCATTTTTTGACTGGATGGTTTACTTTGTTTTTGTTGAGTCATGTGAACTCTTTGGAGTCTAGATTTAAAAAAAAAAAACTGGTGCTTATGGTGTGTGGGTCATGATAAATTCTAGGGTTCCCTTTCTCACAGCACAAGAAATTATATTCATTTTTCATTCAATCCATTGCCATCCAGTGTAGCTTCTCAGTCTTTCTCTTAACCCGATGATAATTTTTTTTTTTTTTTCACAGAGATCGTTTCTCTCCTTGTTACTTGGTCTGTGTGGGAGCTGCATGAGGTTACAATAGATCGATCCTGGTGCTATATTGGAAAAAATGGAGGTTAGGGAGTCTCCTTCCTAGAAAGCATTGTTTGTAAAAATGTCCCCTTATCCATATCTGAGTTCTTTATGGGAAAATAAATTCTGATTCCATAAGTCAGAGTGAAGGTCTGGTCATATCTTTTCTCCCAGAGAGGGCTAACCAAGGCACTCAAGTTCAAGGTCACCCAATTCCAAAGACAATTGACAGTTTCTTCTGCCCGAGGGAGGAAAAATCTAAATAATGTAAATATAAGATTGATCTCTCTCTCTCTCTCTCTCTTTCTCAAAACACACACACACACACATACCCTATACCTGTGGTTTTGTTTTAAACATTCCTGTATACTGAGGATTAGTATATTGATAGATATTAAAGACTCTGTTTTAGTGAGGATATAAAAGTTGAAAACTTTTACAAGTCTAAAATAGTTTTAGTAGAGTTTTATTATATAGCAAATGATTAGAGGAAATAGCAGCCTCTGGGCCTCGTACTTGACTAAGAATACTTGACTAAGTATTATTGTTTTTTGAACACTGGCTATTATGGAGATGTATCTGTTTAGTTCCTTTGCCCATTTTTATTGGGTTATTTGTTTTGTTTTTGTAGAGTTTTATGAGTTCTTAGTATATCATTGATATCATTCCTTTGTCAGATGTATGATGTACAAACATTTTCTCCCATTCAGAAGGGTGTCTTGTCATTTTAGTTACATTCAAACAGCCAACAGACACATGAAAAAAATGTTCATGATCACTTATTATTAGAGAAATGCAAATCAAGACCATAATGAGACACCATTTAGCACTTGTAAGAATGGCCCATATCAAAATGACCAGAAACAGCAAATGCTGGTGAGGATGTGGAGAAAAGGGAACCTTCCTACACTGTTGGTATGACTGCAAACTGGTCCAGGCCTTACAGAAAGCAGTAAGGAGGCATCTCAAGACATTAAACATGGATCAACCATTCAATCCAGTAATTCCATTCAGGCATCTACTCAAAAAATTGCAAAACATTAATTCAAAAGGAAACTTGCACTCCTATGCTTACTGCAACACTGTCTGGGGCACAACCTAACTGCCCCAGAACAGATGAGTAGATCAAGATTTGGTGTATATATACACAATGGAACACTACTCAGCAATCAAAAACCATAAACTCATTTGCTATAACACGGATGGAGCATGAATGGATAATGCTAAATAAAATAAATCAGAAGGAGAAAGATAAAGACTGGATGGTGTCACATAAAGTGTGTCCACATACTTTATATGTGGAATAGAAGTAACTAAACTAACAGTCAGATAAAGACAAACTCAAAAACTAACCCTCGATAGCTGATTACAGAACTGAAGCACCAAGGTAGGGAGGGGATAGGGCAGAGATAAGCGCAAAAGAGGAAGGAAACATAATGGTCTATGGTGGTGGAATATGGGTAAGTTGGTGGTGGGTATACTCCAGTTATAATCCCTGGTTGGGGGGGTCTCAATATTACCTCAATGACAAATTAATTAATTAAAATATTAAAAATAATAAAGCATAGCTATTAGTTTCTTAGACAGCTTTGGGAAGTGAGCTCTCAGGATTTGAATTTGCTGCCTTATTTTGTCAGTTGCAAATAGTGGCATATGAACAAATAGTCCACACATTTTTAGGGAAATTTTACTATCTACACCAATACAATTATTCATAGTTTATATGCAATTATTATCATGACTAAAATCAATGAAGCACATTGTACTCTTTATGCACTGTAAAAGTTTAATTATGTTCAGGTCATTACCAAAGGTTTATTGTTTGTTTTTATTCTGCAGCCTCCACCTCAGATATATGACAAACAGTTGGATGAAAGAGAACACACCATTGAAGAATGGAAAGGTGACTTCTTAAATAAAAGTATATTTTTTGCTTTATTGAAACTCAGAAATTATCTTCAAGGTTTTTCCATTTAAAATATTCCAAAATAGATACATTAAATTCATTGGAAAGACTCTATTGAGAGATTTACTGCCAATATAATTTTGCTTTATATGGTTGAAAATCATTTATAAAAATATATAATAAATTGTATACTACTTGGTTTGGTTATTATACTGTCCCACTCACAGCAATCAAGCAAAATAAACATTTTTTAACTTAGAATGTTACAGCCATAGAAAATAATCCAATAACGGATGATTTTCTAATTGCTATCCTTTTGGACTATTTCAGAGCTCCTAAAACTTCATCTGTCTTTCATACTAAAAACAATTTTACATTTACTCAAGAATAAAAGAAATTAATTACTGATGCCTTTTAAAGTACTACTGATTGTCAGGCCTCCCCGGTGGCGCAGCGGTTGAGCGCTGGGTTGAGAAGTTGCCTGCAGCCTCTGCAGAGCCGGTTCGATCCCCGGCTGCTTCCCGGCCACTGGAGGAGGGTCCCACATGGCGTGCAGACCTCTCCTGCCGCCCGCTGCTCCCCTCAGCAGTGTACTTCGGTCTTTCTGCCTGTTCTGCTCCCCGCTCTGGCTCTGGTGAATTCTCTCACCCTCCTGTGCTTCTGACTGTACCCAGTGCTTATATAAATAAATAAATAAATATTTAAAAAAAAAAAGAAAGAAAGAAAGAAATACCACTACTAAAAAAGAAAAAAAAAATTACTGATTGTCAAAGTATTTGTCACAGAAAAGGATAAACTTTCACTTAAATTTTCAAAATTAAACACTCCATATTTGTCCATAAATTTATAATATACTAGATAAAATTAAAATGATGGTTTGAAACATTAGAAATAAAAATGTAGTTATAGGTATTCATTCACTGAATTTATGGAAATTGTGAATTTATATATAAAATTTATATATCTACGTGGCTTATTTCTCCTTTAAAATAAGAAAGGAATGAATATATATTTTCAGCAAATTTTTCCAAGTAAAGCAGAAAGGCATGTCAAAATTGTGAGGAAGTAAACTAATATAAATCATTGTTGAATAAGAAATATAGGAGAAAGCCAAGTGTAGGTCATAGCAAAGTCAGAATAAGCAAGAATATAAAGGAAAATGCAAAGGGATGAAACAAAGGGATGAAAACAAAGGGATGAAACAAAGGGAGAACTGCCTCGAAATAACTGATTGTAGTTATTTGGGAAAATAAGACTAGAGAGAAATACCAGATAAGGGACACAGAAGAAACAAAGGGTAGGAAGAAGCAAAAAGTATTTTAAAATAATAGATTGTACTAGTCTCAGGACCATATTGGAGAATATAGGAAAATCAGTATGCATAGCCAGTAAATCATGTAAAAAAAATTAAAAAAGATGTTGAATTATAGAAAGGGTAGGAAGGAAGGCAGTTACTCGTAGGGATTACTGAGTAAAAAAGTGATAGGACATAAGCATCATTTGAGAAGATGGACTAAGGTCCATCTGAACCTGGAGAAAGAAACTTCCTGCAAAGGATGATGGTTACATAAACTATAAGTCTTTGCAAAGCAAGAATGTTTGATTTTTCTAGTGCTGGGTTTTAAGCTAGCTTATTTTGACAAATCCAAGTTTTGAGTCTGAAAAACAGATGGAACTCTTGTAAGGATTTGTAGTATTCTAAAGTGATGAGCATATGTATGTGACTTAGGGGATGAATATAAAAGAAAAAGGGATGTTCAAAACTGAGAAATTAAAATATTTCAGAGATAAAGTTAGAATGCATCAAAAAATCAGTGAAAAATTTTAAAATTCAAGAGCCTATTATCCAAATATTTAGTCAAATGCTTTATTGAGAAACTCCTTTGCCAAGTTCTGTACTGCTGCAAAGAAGTAAAAATAGAGGAGTAAAAGAATCTCAATTGTTATTGAGATGATTTAACTCAACCTTATCAAAATGTTATTTGTCACTAACTAATGCACTTTCTCTGTGGATCATTATTTTTTATAACACTGATAATTCTCTTCCAGAACTTATCTACAAAGAAGTAATGAATTCAGAAGAAAAGACTAAAAATGGTGTAGTAAAAGGACAACCTTCTCCTTCAGGTACTCACTCTCAGTGAATAACCAATAAATTGGTATTTGTGCATTTTTTTTTGTTTTTTTTTTTTTGAGGAGGGTTTACAGCCAATAAAATAGAAACAATTCAGTCAAAAGACGGACAAAAGAGTTAAATAGACTCTTCTTTAAAGAAGTAATACAAAGGCAACATGCAAATGAAAAAATGCCCATTGTCACGTACCGTAAGAGAAATGCAAGTCAAAACCGAAGTGAAGTATCACTTCCACCAGTGAGAATGACCCAATTCAATATGACCCAGTATACTACTGGTGAGAATGCAGACTAGTCTAGCCTTCATGGAAAACAAAATGGAAGTTCCTCAAAATAGTACAAATAGGTCTACCATTTGAGCCAGCAATACCATTCCTAGTTACCTACCAGAAAAATTCAGAGGCACACATTCAAAGGGATATGTGCTCTTCTGATTTCAATACAGTACTATTTACAAAAGCTGAACTATGAAAACAACTTAAGTGTCCCAAAACAGATGAGTAGATTAAGAAGATATGGTATATCTAAACAAGGGAATACTACTCAGTTATAAAAAAAAATGAAGAGTCGTTACCCATCCTGGTACTAAGCTTCCTTATCTTGATGAGTCTTTGTCCCTTATGGTAGCTTTACTTCTCAGGTAGATGTGGGGTGCGGGGAAATTTTGCATAAGAGGATCTCCTATATTTGTTCTAGCTCTAGCATTCCATAACAAATGCTTTTGGAAGAAAATTAATTTCTATTCATAGGTTGCTATTCCCTCAGCAGTCTTTACAAATCAATTCAGAAAGCAAACAGCACGTTATAGTTGAAAACAAATCACTGTGCAAGTGAAATCAGATAGCAGAAGCAAGTACAATTGCTTATTTAGAAATGCATCTCAAGTTTGGATTCATTTCTTACTGATATTACAAAAATTCCATCAATAAATTTCAAATCTGCATATTATTCTGCAAATGCACACTTAGCTTCCTATTTACATTTTATTTATTTTTTTTTAATTTTTAAAAATGTTTTCATTTATTTTTTATTTTTTTTTATTAGATAATAAATTTTATTGTTATATTCCCCATACAATTGCAGCCCCCCCATTCTGACCCCAATCCCTCCCCTCCCGCCCCTGCCCCCCTAAAAGTGTCTCTGGTTCATAGTTTTTTGTTGATTTTGATTTTCACTTTCTTACATTTTAAAAGCATCACTAAAACATGGGTTTGCGTAGTAGGGCCATTTTGTCACTGAGAAACTACATTAACTTATTTTATTCCTTTGCTGCCAGGTACTCACTGTTACTATGATGGAATATTAAGAGAGTCTGTGTTGTAATATTACTTCATTCCAGCTATCTGTAAAATACAATATGATATGCAAACATTAATGAGAAAATGTCAATATATAGAAAGTTAAGTTTTCAAGCCTTCTTAGTGATTGCTTTCTCTTTCAAACATATCTTACTGAATATATACACAGACATGTACACTCCGTGTGTGTACACATGCATGCACACACACAGGTGTGTCAAGGAAAATTAAACTAAAAGGGATTAGACTAAGTGAAATAACTCAGAAAGAGAAAAACAATTACCAGATAATTTCACTCACATATGGACTATAGAGAAACCAAACAAAGGAACAGACAAAATTAAGTCAAACAAACCCCATAAATCTGACTCTGGAAATCTGACTGTAGAATTGAGTCTACTAGAGTGGGGGATGTTGTATGGGCAGGAAAGGGGAGGGGGGCCAATGGACTATGCTGGAGGATTATGGGAACTTTGGTTGTTGGAGTGTAGTTGTAATGTACATTTGAAGAATCATATACAATATTGGAAAACAGTGATATCAATTGGAAGCATTATGTTCAGTGAAAGAAACCAGATCATGTATTACATGATTCCATTTCTATGAAATGTCCAGAATAGGTATAACTATAGAGAAATTAGATTAATTGTGGTGGAGCTTAAGACATGGGGCAGTGGGAGTAGCTAAAGTTAAATGGCTTCTTTCTGATATGAAAATATTCTAAAATTGACTCTTGTAATAGTACACATTTGTGAATATACTGAAAAGCTCTGAATTATGCATTTTAAATGGGTGAATTTGGGGGGATATGAGTTGTAAATCTACAAAGCTTTCACCAAAAAAAAGAAAAAAATCACTTAAGTTAAATATAGCCAAAAGCTAGTTTGCACAGTAATTGTTGATTGTAGAAGAAATGATGAAAATAACCTAGTTCTTAATGAAACCAGAATGTTGGGCCAGGACTGAGATTGCTGCCAATTCAGATTTTTACATTTCTACTAATGACAGCTCTATTTCTTCTGCCTTTTATCCTGAAACCTCTGATTGGTCTTTTATTCCATATTTATATTATCAATGACAGTCACTTTCTATATCCTAAAAAGTTTACTTGTTAGAGGATTTATATTTAATTTCTACAATTCTTTTCATTAATAACACTATGAAGTTTTCCCAATGTAATCTTTCTGACGTCAGTCTCTAACTTGGTCTTTTAAAATAACAGGTTTGGTCAAGAATCCAACTAATCATTGCTCCCTCAATGGCTTTGTGTCACTTATAATTTAAGCACAGTGACTTCTTCCTGACATTTATAGGCCCCAGGTTTTCCCCCTTTCACACTGTACCCTTTATAGGGTCCTATATTACCACTTTCTTACCCAGCCTCGTGGATTGCAAATGTTCTCTTATCAAGTGCAACCACCAAATATTTTTCATATCTTTCCAAACATTTTTGACATTGTCCCAAAGAATAGGATCTTTTCTTCCTATGGATCCTGCTAGTCCCTGCATTTTAAATTTTCACCTCTTGTTTTATTACTGCTTATTGGTTATAAGTTCATTGGAAAGAAAGACCATGTATATTCATCTTTGTGACCATTTATGCCTAAATGCTGAGCCTTGATATTCACTAATTTGAAAATTGCCAATGAGGTCCTCCCTAAAAATGTTTCTTTGTGCTATTGTAAAGAGAGAATTCAAGAAAGAAACGTAACTTTAATATAGAATGCAGGGGGCCTCCCTGGTGGCACAAGGGGTTAAGCACCGCACTGTGAAGCAATCCACAGCCTCTGCAGCATGAGTTTGATCCCCGGCCAGCCAGGGAGCAACCCACATGGCACAGCAGACCTCTCCTATCTCACCCGCTGCTCCCCTCAGCAATGTACTTCAGTCAATCTGCCTGTTCTGTTCCCCACTATGTCTCTGGTGAATCCTCTCACCTCTCACACCTTTGGCCTGTACCCCAGCTCTTGTCTGCATAAATAAATAAATCTTCAAAAAATACATAGTATGCAATTCAGTATGTTCTTATGCCAGTAAATATTCATTTGCCCTATTAATTTCTGTGGAGATAAATGAACCAAGTTTCAAATATATGAGTTGTTGCTGTTGGCATTTGTTCATGCTTCAGGAGGTTATTTGATTTATTCATTTTGGGGGAATGTATTCCTAATGTTTTTTGTAGGCTGCGTAGCATGTTAATGATTAACTCTAATATATGCCATGGAGGCTCTACCTACATGTAAGAAGACCAAACCATTCTTTAACCCTTCCAGCGACTTGTAATAATCACAAATTATTTACATTATACACCTACCTTAATCTATAGTTGAGTGGTTCAATCAATTTATAGCAAAAGTGATTATAGAATCAATCTTTTACTGCACAATTTTTTAAAAAGATTTATTTATTTATTTTTATAAAAGAACCGGGGTACAGGTCAGATGCGTGGGAGGGTGAGAGGATTCACCAGAGACAGAGCAGGGAACAGAACAGGCAGACTGATGAAATACACTGCTGAAGGGAGCAGCGGGCACCACAGGAGGGGTCTTCTGCACTATGTGGGACCCTCGCCGCCAGCTGGAATCGAACCAGCACTGCAGAGGCTGCGAACAGCTTCACAGCGCTGCGCTCAACTGCCTGCGCCAGCAGGGGAGGCACTTTTACTGCACAATTTTAAAGGAAAATAATCTAGACTTGAGAAATCATGTGTTATATATGACATGTCTGTATAGCTATATTATTATGCATCAGCTAGAGGCATAGAACTGCCATATGCTGAAACTGACTCTGGCAGCTCAGTGCCAACATTGCATTTCTCTCTTAAAAAAAGTTTATTATCTCAAATTGGTGCCCTGAAATCTGCCATGGAAGATTTAAGACATGGAATTGGCTGATTCCAAAAATCAGGGCATTGTTTTCCCTCTGTAAGTGTCAATTGTCAAATTTTTATCGGCATACTGTGTGTGTGCATGTATGTGTATGCATGCAGACTGTACATGTCTGTGTATATATGCAGTAAGATATGTTTGAAAGAGAAGGCAATCACTAAGAAGGCTTGAAAACTTAGCTTTTTGTATTCTTCCTCATGTTAACGTTTTCTCATTAATGCTTGCATATCATATTGTATTTTACAAATAGCTGGGATGAAGTAATATTACAACACAGACTCTCTTAATATTCCATCATAGCAACAGTGGGTACCCTGCAGCAAAGGAATAAAATAAGTTAATGCAGTTTCTCAGTGACAAAATGGTCCTAATACCCAAACCGATGTTTTAGTGATGCTTTTAAAATGCAAATAGGAAGCTAAGTGTGCATTTGCAGAATAATATGCAGATTTGAAATTTATTGATGGAATTTTTGTATATCAATAAGAAATGAATCCAAACTTGAGATGCATTTCTAAATAAGCAATTGTACTTGCTTCTGCTATCTGATTTCACTTGCACAGTGATTTGTTTTCAACTATAGCGTGCTGTTTGCTTTCTGAATTGATTTGTAAAGACTGCTGAGGGAATAGCAGTTCATGAATAGAAGTTCATTTTCTTCAAAAACATTTGTTATAGAATGTTAGAGCTAGAGCAAATATAGGCGATCTTCTTATCCAAAATTTCTGTGTATAATCCACCCCCGCCCCATTCCACTTGAAAAGTAAAGCTACCATAAGTGGCAAAGACTTGCCAAGACACTGATGTTTAGTATCAGGGCAGATAAAGATTTTTCAAAATCTCTAAGTAGAAGATAAAGCTCCCCCAGGTGAATTCCTATACCACCTTTCCCCCATCATATTTTTCACACCGTGGAAGTTTGTTCTCCCAACTAAATCACTCATGTAGAGATCAATAATGTTATTTGTTTTTTATTAAAAAAACCCAACTCCAAACATGTTGAGACACAAGATCAAACAGAAAGCAAAGGAAATGTTTCTCAGTGATTTTTTTCCCAATTCTTATATGTCATAATTCTTTGTATTTACCTTTTGTGGGGAGGAGGATAGGGTTGGTAAAGTAATTTTCTTTTAAAAATTAGAACAGGGCCTCCCCTGGTGGCTCGGGCAGTAGAGCGCCGCGCTGTGAAGCTATTGGCAGCCTCTGCAGCGCCAGTTCGATCCCAGCTGGCCAGCAAGGGTCCCACATGGTGTGCCAGACCTCTCCTGTTGTGCCCACTGCTCCCCTCAGCAGTGTATTTTGTCAGTCTGCCTGTTCTGTTCCCCACTCTGTCTCTGGTGAATCCTTTCACCCTCCCACGCATCTGGCCTGTACCCCGGTTCTTGTGCAAGTAAACAAATCTAAAAAAAATAAAAATTAAAACAACATATTCTCCTGAAATAATGAATATCATTTGGCTAACTTTTCAATTTTTTATAAGTTTCTTCTTTCCACGAATCTTAATTTTCTTCAAGTAAATTTGATAGTAGCTAATACAGTTTAACTACAACTCAGTTTTTTTTTCCTGTTACTTTTAATGACATATGTATTGATAAATCTCTGTAATGCTTTATTGATGGCAAAATATTTTCTTAAAATGCATAGCTCTACTGCTTTTTCAGGAAGCAATATGGAAGGAAGGGATACTTCCAATCACATAACTAGGATATACCATGCACAAGCGGACATTCAAATCAAATTCAACTGAGTTCATTTTTGTATGAGATTTTCACAAATTCTTTGGCAGTGAATTAACAACTTGGCCCTTCTATTTTTCTTTGGTTTTATGGTTTATAAAAGCTTTTTTACTTGAAAGGATCATCTGGTAGAGCCAGAAAGGGCTGTAGTAAAAAAGACATTTAGAAATCATACAGAAGGGACTTCCCTGGGGTTAAAGTCTCAGCCCCATCAAGCTATCACCAACCACTGCAGCGTAAGTTTGATCCCTGGCCAGAGGAGAAATTTGCCTCCCTCAGAGAACCTACCTAGAAGAATACACACAAAAAATACTTGTTTTATAAAATTAAGTACTTATTCTATGCTTGACAGTAGAGTTTACTGAAGACAGGAGAACTAAAGAAGTATAATTTTAAAAAGTAACAAAAACATCAATACAAGATATATACATATAAACAAAAATTATAGTCAATAAGGGTCTAACTTATGATACACAACACTCAGCATATTCCAAACATGTTGAAAACGTGTTGATTATTAAAAATAAGTGCTTTAGGACTGCTATGTATTTCAGAAGCATAGCCTGCATTGTGAGCCCCTGTATATGAAATGTTTATTAAAAGCTACTCTGGTTTTTCTGCCTTTATTCAACATTATTTATAGATTGAAATGTTTTTCTGGGAAAATTTTCTCAGTCTTCTTTGTGTAATTTCTCTAGCTGCCATTGTGGGTTTGCATTTGTAAAAAATCAAGTTATGTTTCCTTAAGAAAGTCTTATCTTTGCTAAGTCTTATCTGATCCTTGCTTGAATCAGTGCTCAGCTCTCACTGTAACATTCAGAATATGTCCACATAATCAACTCCAGTCCAGAAAAGGGAAAAAGCTTATCAAGAGGAGATCAGAATTATTATAGTATACTTTGAAACACTTTTTGATTTGCATTACAACAAAACATTATTTGAAAATTTTCAAACTGTTTATTTTGCTATAGTTGAAATAAAGCATGTTAGATTTGTTAGTTTTATTAAAGTCCTATGTCCAATTTTAATCTTTTATCTCTAATAAGGATGTGGAAAACCTACAGACATTCTAAGCCATCCATCATAGTGATACTAAATAATCAGACACCAAAACCTGTGACAGAAATGAGATATTAGTATAATTTAATCTAGAATCAGAGGGAATATCAAAGCTGGACATTGGGGTTTTGTAAGGGTGTTAAGGGTTGCCTGCTAGTATATGTCACAAGAAGAAATGAACTGGATCTGTGTCATGTCTAAAAGGGTATAATTAAAATAAAATTGGAATAATTGAAGCCAGATTAACTGGACATTACACTTTGTACTTATAATGAGAGCAATGATTTACAGGAAAAGTTAATAGAGGTTTTAAAATATCTGGATACATTTAAGAGGTATTGATATTTTTAAGATATTAAAGGTTTTGAATATGAAAATATCAGGATATAAAAGAATATATTATATTAAACTAGAAAAAATACCAGAAGTTTAATATTTCTTATTATTTGAGGATTAGTGCATCTTTTATTTTTTTCCCTGTATCTTCCCATAATTTACATAAATATCTTCAACAGATCAAAACTTAAATATACATGGGATGCATATGTCTTAGTCTAGGTCCTCTCCAGATACTGCCAAAATTTTATCACATTCTTTCTACAGGCAAGAATGTCTACTTCAGGAACAAGGAGATTGTACTACTCATTAGATTAGATTGTACTACTTCATTAGATTTTTTTCTGATTTATTAAATCTATGTAATACTGTTTTAATCTATTTATTACTTTTCACCAAGTATATCTTGCAAGCTATATTTATTCAAATAACATACAATTTTAGGGAAAATTATTTGTCTTTTATCTTATTAAATAATTGTAAAGCAAGTACTTCTAATGCAAACTGTTTCATAAAGCGTGCACTTACCACCCATATTATTTAAGTATAAAGAATATCTGATAAGAAAAAGTAAGTTGACTGTTTCTGTAGTATCATGATTTCATTATATGTTACAATGTCTCTGACTCATCTTTCCTTCAGAGTTCTCAAAGTTATTATAACTCAGTAAATATTTACTGAGTAATTACTGAGCAAATTTCTTCTCAGAGTTTCAAAATCTTAATATTCCTGCATTGATAAATGAAAGATTTTTTGCAAATTGATCTAAGTTACTAATTCCGATTTTTTAATCTGTAGATTCCCAGGTAAGCAAGCTTGCTGGAAAGTACATACACAATCAAAAGTGACATTCATTGAAAGCCCTACTTTTCCTATATGTATTTAAAGTGTGATGTCATATTAATAACCGTGTAATAACATTTACTTAATAGATCTTCCTTTTTCTAGAGCTGTAGTCTACATATAATTCAAATTTCTGTACTGCATCTCAGCCCATATTTCCAAGATCAGACCCTTCCATGTGTTTGTCTTATAAGATGCCTGTATTAAATCATCTGGGTTCAGATCATTGCATTAAATGGCTTTTGCTCACCTGTCTTCTCCATAGACATGTGGTCTCAACCTTTAATTCTATGGTCTATGGAGAGCATTTAGAAATGTAAATGTCTTAACTCTATCTAATACCAAATATAGTGATATTGGAGGTATGGGAGTTGATGGGTTTGTAGTGGGTTTCAGTTTATTTAAGAAAGTAGCAGATGAGGGCCTCCCCTGGTGGTGCAGGCAGTTGAGCGCAGTGCTGTGAAGCTGTCCGTGGCCTCTGCAGCACGGGTTCCATACCAGTAGGTGAGGGTCCCACATGGCGAGGCAGACCTCTCCTGTCGCACCAGCAGTATATTTCATCAGTCTGCCTGTTCTGTTCCCCACTCTGTCTCTGGTGGATCCTCTCACCCTCCCGTGAATCTGGCCTGTACCCCAGCTCTTGTATAAATAAAAAAATAAAAAATCTTTAAAAAAATTTAACATAATTAAAAAAAAAAGAATATAGCAGATGAATTCTCAGATAGAGCAAGATTTGAGAACTACTGCATTAGTTGTGAATAACTTGCTACAGGGATTTTGCATTTTTGCCATGATTTTCACCAATTACTATAGTGCCCTGTGTTAGTTCAATGAAACCTTGTCAAGCAAATGATACACAAGACACCCTTATTGCATTATCCCTGCCTGCCTGCCAAGCGATATTCACTTGAGTCCAGTTCCAGATTTAGTCATGTTGGTCTTTATTTTCTTAGCACAGGTGCAGCAGTGAACAGCAGTGAGAGTCTCCCTCCATCCTCGTCAGTCAACGACATCTCCTCCATGTCCACCGACCAGACCCTGGCATCTGACACTGACAGCAGCCTGGAAGCCTCGGCAGGACCCCTGGGTTGTTGCAGGTGACTAGCCGCCTGCCTGCGAAACCCAGCGTTCTTCAGGAGATGATGTGATGGAACACACACGCAGACATGCACGCACACACACACACACAGACACACAGTGACAAGAAAACCTCAAGGGAGAAAAATCTAAGTCTAAAATTAAAACAGATCTTTCAGCCTGCTTCTTCTCCAGAGTTCTGTATTGCAGCTAAGCCAAATGTGTATTTAACTTCTAGTTGCACTTGCTTTGATCTTCTTCCAACGATGCTTACTACAGAAAGCAAATCAAACACAATTAGAGAAGCCTTTTCCATAAAGTGTAATTTTAATGGCTGCAAAACCAGCAACCTGTAATTGCCCTTCCAAATGGCATGACAAGGTGTGCAGTGGCCCCATCAGCATGTGTGTGTCTCTATCTTGCATCTACCTGCTCCTTATGGCCTAGTCAGATGGATGTAGATACAGATCCGCATGTGTCTGTATTTATACAGCACTATTTCCTTAGAGATGCTATTGTCAGTGTCCTCAGGGCTCAACCAAGACATCATGCACTGGGGTACCACATGGTCCATTTCATGTGATCTATTACTCTGACATAAACCCATCTGTAATATATTGCCAGTATATAAGCTGTTTAGTTTGTTAATTGATTAAGCTGTATGTCTTATAAGAAAACATGTAAGGGGGGAAAATATGGGGGGAGTGAGCTCTCTCGGACCCTTGAAGATGTAGCTTCCAAATTTGAACTGATTAAATGGCACCTGTATACCAATTTGTAGAAAGAACATATGTGATGCTTACGTACAGTGTGGGGGGCGGGAGGGGGTAACAGTTTTGAGGTACTAAATGGTTTGGCCCTTAGAAGAAGTTGGGAATAAAAAAACAAGGTCTTTTCTCTGACATGAGTGGGTAGGAGAGGCTAGAGAGTAGGTTGCAGTGTGGAAGAAGATCTAAAGGAGATTATTGCCCAAATACCAGGAGCCACCGACATCCATAATTTAGAGAGTAGACCCCATTTGTCATTTATAAATTGTGACACAACTGGATAGAAAGTGACAGGTGGGGAAGCAAAGTCATTTTGTACATACCTGGAGGTAGAGGCCCATCCAGGGGACACAGCAGAATTGTCTTCATATGATTTCCTTAGCAGAAAATGAGCCTACTTAAACGATTTTCAGATTTTGGGTTGTGTTCACCATGAGTGTGCTACTTCCCAGAGCTATACCCTGCCTAGGTTTAAGTTAGAGAAGATATATTATTTTCCTCATCTGGAATAAAAAAATTAAATAATCAAAAAATAAAAATATACCCAAAGCACAGGATGATTCTCAGGTTAGCCTTTGAAAAAAATTTCTGCAGATATTATTTATTCCTCAGGGGGGTTCCTTCACCCCATCCTATGACTGATGTTTCATGTTTATTTATTTTCGTAAATTTCAGCAATCCAAGAAGGGCTGGTAATCCAAGTTTTGTACTGCAGTCGATGTGACAGCAATAACTATGCCTATAAGTTACTGCTGCTAAGTAGCTTTAGCAATATGAGTTTGTCTTAAAAGCCATGAAACATTTATGTCAATGCTTAGGAAAATCACCTGATTTTAGCTGAAATTAAATGAAAGTGCTTTCCCAAGCACTTAAGGAGGCACTGTGAATCATCTTGGTTATATACAAGGCAATACCAGGGTGACTTCTCAGCAATAATAGGGACCAGGCCAAAGCTTCCCCTCTTAATCACTCTGGTGGAGTATCCATCACAGTTATTTGCACTCTGACCATATTGGTGCTCACCAATGTGGTGATATTTCACCTGAAGAAGTGAGATGCATGAAGTGGATGGTTGATGAGTGTGATATGACTGATAAATGAAATCCCTTCAATAATAGAGCAAAAAAAGAATGTCAGTACTCTAAAAACTGCCTTAAATTCCACAATAGGGAAGCTTTGTCTCTTTTCAAGCAATAGAGTCACCCCCCACCATCACCAGGACAACAATGCTGCCATTGATGAGATTGCTTCACACACTGAGATTCAAGACAAGGGGTTATTTGTTTAAAATGGGGAGAACTCCCATTAGACTGCAATCTGTCCCTTGGAATAAAGTGGCCCAGTTTCTAGCTCATACTATCATTATTTTTGGTTAATATCGCAGATAACCTGATTTTAAAAATACCTCGATTCACATATGCTCTTTTTTCTATCATACTCCAACCCCCTTTTAAAATATTCCCTTCTCATGTCCTTTACTCTTTATTTATCTCCTTTCCTGTAGTCTTCCCAGTATAATAACTGTGTTTTCTCCACTCTTGGCTTTCTACCACATGGGATTAAGTGCAGAGAGCAGTCGGCTGTCTGAAAGAAAGTGAGTAGCAAGGGGAATTCCATTAGCCACAAAATGACTTCAAAACAAAAGAAAATTTCCAGGCAGCATCTTAGAAGTGCTTGACAGTTAGATTGGCTTTCTTATTTGCGCAAGTGGTGATTTACTTATTTTTTGCTTAGATTAAGCCAGGCAAGAACTAAACAATGCCTCTCCTTTATTATTGCTGCCTTCCCTAAACTCTACTTGTTTTATCTTTTCTGTTGTATAGCTCTTGGGAGTTGATTATTTTAGCCAGATCTCCCTTATGAACTAGAAAAAAAGTGGAATGAGTATCTCGGATTGAAGTATCATACAAATAGAGACAAGAGTTTGGTTTCTTGACTGCTTACTCGGTTATCAAAGCAAGATGGGAGATGGTACAACAGAGAATCATTATTTCAAAAGTCCACCAGTCCTACACAAGGTGATTATGTCATCAGTTTCACAGAATATATTCTGCATTGAGTCTTTTTGTTTTCTTAAAAAAAAAAAAACACTAATATTTCCTATACAGTCACCTGTTACTTCCAAAGGATTCTCTTGCTTTTAGGTTAGTGAAGTCTCAAGGCACCTGCACTGCATTTCTGGAAAAACTGAAGGTCTTGCCTGTGGTCAGGCTCTCTTTGCAGTGTGAAGTGGCTGCTGAGAGAAGCCAACCTGTCACTCCCTAGAGGGCCATTGTTTTCACAGTGATCCTGAATGCAATGTTCCAGAGTATGTTGTAGGAGGGCTGACTGTCCCCACATGCAGGAGAGATTCAATTGTTTAGGTAATTTGGTAAAATCACCATTACTTTCATTTCTTAATATGTATTTTGTGGGTCAGTGTGTAAATTTTTAAAAGGAGATGTGGGAGAACATTTCAAAAAGATACATTTCTTCTTATGGAATAAAAACGGGTAGTAATCTTGCATCTTCAAGAATCTGATGCTTGAGCTTTGTAGGACTATACCCCACAGGTGACCCAGGGCCTGCCCAAATCCCTCCAATTAAAGTAAGATATTTAACTGAGGGTTGAAAAGTTGGGTAATTCTTCTCAATCTGTTATCATCATTAGGAAAGTATTACCTAAGAATACTGATAGCAGCTGACTATCAGTGAATCAGCAAATAGAATAGATGAGAAAAAAATAAATCCTTTTAGGACATGCTATGTGGGTGGCAGGGGGAGGACCAATAAGCAAAATTGATGTATAAATTTTAAATATTCACTGCAAAATCTAAAATATAAAAATCTGCTTTAATTATCTTTGCATATGACGATCGAAGTCTTGAAGGCACTATGCTCCATAAAGAAAATTGTCAGCCGGCTTTGCAGAAAAATTTATCATTTACAACTCAGAGACAGGAATAAAAATATCCCAAGAATCTTTGATGCCCAAGAGGAATTCCACTTCCTACTCACAACCCCCTCATACACACACACACTCAATTGTGAGAGTCCAGCATTTTCCAAATATTATTAAGCCAAGCAGGGAAGCCTCTTTCTGTAAAAACAGCAAACAAGTTACAATGTAAATAGTATATCAGTTATTTTCCATGTAATTAAAATATAAGATTTGTTTTTTTTTTTTTTTCTTTTTGCCACTTAGTTCTTTTACTGTCCGAAATGGTTCACTTTGATCCATTTCCTTGGTCAGTCAAATGGAAATGGAAGGCTTCTGTTTATATATAAATCCTGTATATCTAACTTTTGATTATGTGGGACCAATGGCCAGTATATTCTAATGGAAACAAATCTCCCAACCCTTATCTAGCATTAAACTGTTCACCTTGCCATGTTTATCTTGCAATGAGACCTAACTTGCACTTGCCTGCTCCTTTGCATGATTGGACTCCAAAGACTATTACCAATGATGAGAATTGTCCTGTGTCAGTGTTTATGAAATGGAATTAAAGCACACACACACACATCCATACATACTTCACCCTTAGAGTTCTAGATCAATCCTGGAAGGCAAAACCATGGACACCCAGTTTCCTTGCAAGATCTTATGGTAAGAACTAAAGTCAGCCTGATGGATCAAATTCAATCTCAGTGATGTTTAATAAGAATGTGAATTTACTTAAGTTATTTTTTGTTTTCTTCCTCCCTCTTTTTTCATTTCTATTTGTCCCCTTTATTTTCAAAATGTCGGTGGAACAAGAAGATGAATGGGAGGGGACTTTGACTCCTTTGGACTTTTTGTAGGTGGATATTGAGTTGATATGTTGTGATTTCTGTTTCTTATGAATTATTAAAAGCCAGAGCAAATCTACTTCCCTGAACATAAAACCAAATCCAAATCCAGACTTTGTTGGAGTTTGCCTGTTGACAATGGTTGTTGTGTGGCTCATTGTCTTGGGATTCATGCCCTTACTGTAGCTCTGAAACATCTCACATGATTTCATTTTGACATCTGGTGAAAGAAACATGTAGTGTGTGGTCTGGTTGTGATAGGGAATAAATAAGAAATGAAGAATGACTTACTTTCTCACTATGGGTCAAGAGTGTGTAATATATATGTGACCATGTCAAAGGCTGTGTTTTCACTTGAGACTGGTTTCTTCTAAAAATAATCTTCACTTCTGCCTGTGGATACCAGTTGTATAGCTCACTTCGGTAAGTTTCCTTTGGAGTATAAAAACAGTGAATGTCAAAACAATCATTTTGGGGGAGCATTAAATGAGTGGAATAAGGTTAAATTCTCCAGGTTAATCATCCAAATTCTTAATCAGTTAAATTGTTACCAAAAAGAGCATATACAAGTTTCCTTTTTGTTTACATGGTAGCCAACCCTAGCATCTTAAACTCAGTGAATTAAAAAATATGTTTTTGTGACATTAAACTTTAATTTACCTGGAAGTGTCTGAATAATATTGAGGAATGCCACTTCAGTTTCTGTAAATACTTAGCTAACTATAAGAAAATCTGGAAGATAAACATATGTATTATTTTGTGTTGAACACAATTTATCTTTTAATTACTTAAGGAGAACAGAAAACAAAAAGCTTTTGTAATCACTTGCACAGCCTTTATTCTAATTTAAATCACAGACCTTTACTCTTTTAATAAAATAACTTTTAAAATGGTCACATATAGGTACCTGGAAATCCCCTGGATATTAAGAAGGGAATCAGCATTCCACAGGATAACTCAGGGAGAGAAAAGAAAAGAAGCACCCTTTTTGATGCATTGGTGTTACTAAATACTTGAGTAATTCTGACCCAGTTTGCAGCGAGAAGAAAGGGGTGTCGAAACTACCTTTCTTATTCCTGCTTGTGGAATGAGTTACCTAGAACAACTGCTCAATAACTGCCCTGATTTGACATCACAGATTAACTAAAATGGTGTTTTCCATGTATAACTTGTCTCTCCTCCAAGAGTTTCAAAAGTCTGCATGGAAGATAGGGGAAATTAGTGAAACACTGAGGA